CTCTCTCTCTCTCTCTCTCTCTCTCTCTCTCTCTCTCTCTCTCTCTCCGAGCGCATTTTTATTCAAATGGTTTCCATTGAAACGGAATTACAACTCATACATATGCTGCTGCCCGTGTGCTGACTTGATTGATTTCTGTTGGTTTCTTAGAATTTTGGCGAGAAAGAGAGAAGAAGGAAAAAAGCCAACAAAATCAATCGAATGTCATAAATGCCAAACCTTCTCGTGGGCCTGAATTTTATCGCTTCGACATAATTGTCGCATGCAATTAGAAATGGTAACCAGGCGAAAATTCAAATTCAAATTTTCACTCAACCGCGTAATTTACTCGGCGTATAGTTTTCATTATGAACATCATTGAAGTGAACTGAACTGAACATTTCATGGAGAAATGAATTTTTGTTTCTGTTTTTCGGTTCGAATATTCCAGCAGTGTTTCATTCAAACACTCTTTGCAACGCATTGTCACCATTGCCACCGTTGGCGAGAACTATTGATACCGAACAATTGAAATGCAAACAGTTTCCTGTCATATGCGAACACACACAGTGTGTCAACCTACCACTATAAACGTCAGCGATCAACATCAACAGAGACACTATAGCACATAGCATTAAACGCACTATTGCTTCACTCTTTGTACACACTTTGACATCACTTATGCTTTGGCGCGCGTCGTACGTTTTTCAAACGTTTATGTTTGATTCAAGTATTTCACCGATTTCACCGAATTTTCTTACTCAATATCAATATATTCATTCTTACTTGGAAGTTTTTTTTTATTGCAATGATGTTTTAAAATATATTTTGTCGAGAAGTTTTTTTTTCAATTTCCAAAATTAAATGAAATTAAAACACATAGCATGAAACGTATTCATAGTAGAAATGCATATGTATTAGTTTGTACTTATTCATTATAATGTATTTAGATAGGACGCTAGCGCGGCCTGGTGTCAACCAATCATAATATTCACACGTTTGGATTATTATATTGTAAGTCATTTTGAAAGTTGAAGATTCTTTCGTTTTTCAAATATCAAAAACGATTCTGTCCGAAAAAATGTCAGCATTTTGTGGCATTTGATCTAATTTCAATCAATTTTACCGATTCCGTTCCGGTGAATTTGCATAAATTGGTGCTAGGTATGCCACCCTGTGCTTCATTATGAGGCCATAGTCGTGTACGAAAGGAAATAAATACAAAACGCGATAAAGCGTTGTTGATTTGTGTTAACATTTTTGTTTCCAAAAGACTTAGGTAGTTTTATTTTTTGTACGGTTATTACTTTGTTCAAGAGATAGTGAGTGTGAGAGAGAACGGTGCCATTCTAGTTTGTATAAGATTTGTTTGGCCCGAATATTGATCACCTTTTTGGTATGCATCGTACATATTGTCCATGTCTGCAGTTTACTTTGTTGCCATCAATATTTGTCGAGTAATTCTTATGTCTTTCTTTGTTTTCAATTCTGACACAATGCAAAATAGCGCGTTAAATAACGTTGGACGTGTGTATATGTGTGTGTGTGTGTGTCGATGGCGACAGTGTCAAAATCGATTGAAGCAAAAAAGCGATATTTCTTAAAAGAATGCACAAGGATCAAAGAAATTTGACACCTTTTCATTTGTGGTGGAAAATTTTCAAGGTTTTTCTTTCTTCTTTCTGTGTTCTGTTTGTGTTGAAGCGAATTTCGTTTGATCGAGTTTAAAGATATGTGATTCTTTTTGGGCTTGTGTATTTTAGTGTGTGGTTCGGGTTTTTGCTACTTTTCTCCCGATAATCTTGAACCGAAATGTATAATTTTACGGTAAAAACAAAAGAGCAACCAAAAACAAATCATGCCATTGTAAAGGCAGCCGAATGGCATAACATTTTACATAATGACTGTCGTTTTTGACTCGCTGCTTTTCTTCTTCTTCTTCTTCTTCTTCTTCTTCTCATTTTCTCGAAATATCTTTGTTGTGATAGGCGTCTGGACCGGCAACACACGGCTGTGTGCTGTGACTGTGTGTAAACGTAACGCGTTTACCATATACATATATATGTAGTTGGCATCAGAGATTATTTTGGTATGGTACCATGATCTGAGCTCTTATTTTATCGGAAAAAGGTGAAAAAAAATCACAAAAAAGCAGCAGCAGCAGCAACGATGGCAATAGCAACGTATGAATAAAAATGAATAAAGCATAGAAACGGCACCGTTGTGTGTATGATATTGATACTCGTTTATCGCACTTTCTTTCCCACTTTCATCAAGAGCGGTGCAACGATGCTAAACCGAATTGGAATTAATCATAATACAGTGCACACACAGTGTTGTGCTACATGAGATCAACTCACACACACACACACACACACTCGCAGGCACATTGAATTTGGCTATATTGGCACACAAGCGGGAAAAATTCAGGAAGAAATTGCTTTATAGAAACGCGTTGAAATGTTTCATTATATTAGATAGAGCCGGTGTGTGAGGTAAAAATCAGTGTGAGTTTGCACACCAAGTGAAGGACTACACACCTAGAGAAAATAAAATCAACGAGACAAAGAGATAAAATAATAATAATGGAAAACCATTGAGGAATATGCTCGGTGTGTATTCAATAGAATTATCGACAGCACTGCGACTATTTCGTGTGCGTGTTGTAGATGTCGAGGTTTGTGTAAACGAAGCAATAGTAGAAGAAAAAAACAAGAAAAATCTCATCAGTGGCTAGGCCATACGAGGAAATGTGTCTTTGTGTTACGATGCAAAAGATGAAGATGAAAGAACGAAAATAACAGCCGTGCAGCGGTGCCACCAGGATCGCATTTGCACCACAAGTAATATTCATATCGATATCTCTGTCATGATTCCCACAAGAGACGCCAGCAGCAGCAACAATAATATCAATCGCCAGCCAAGCCAAGCCAAGCCAATGACAAAATGCTGAATAAAAACAAAAACCGGAGGCAAAACCGTGTACAACAAATATCAGTTTTGCTTACACTCTTCACATTTCGATGGCACTGAGCGACCATTTCTGACGAGAGTTCGATGCTTTGCTGCCGAACGGATGAATATTGCATGGCATAAACACATGTGTGTGTCTCTCTCTCCTCTTTCTCTCTCTTCTCTCGCTCTTTCCCTGCCTCTATGCAGCATGGAAGCGTATTCGATTTCACTTGAATATTAAAATTTAATACGCTTTGTGATGTTCACAGTACAAATAATCTATTTATCCCCATTTATTTACCTTATTTGTTTAGTGTGTGTGCGGCATGCGACGCTGTGTACTTGTGTGTCACTTTGCACACGGCTCAAAATCGTCTCATAAATAATCGCGCTGGAATTCGTATTAACGAATTGCTATCATCACCTAACGCGCACATTTCTGGTGTGTGTGTGTTT